TGTGTGTGTGTGTGTGTGTAGGTGAGTGTGTGTGTGTGTGTGTGAGTGTGTGTGGTTGTGCGTGTGTGTGTGTGTGAATCCTAATCTCACACAATGGGTGCATGTAAAATTCAGATATCTATCTCAGTTCTCATGTTTACAAAATCCTCCTATGTTACTCTGTTCTTTGTCTAAGCCGAGCTACAGGGCTGCAGGAGAGAGGGTGGGGTGTGTGTAGTGTGTGTGTGTGTGTGTGTGTGTGTGTGTGTGTCTGTGTGTAGAGGGGGCTGTAGTGAAACAGAGGGCAGAGGGTTGAGGGATAATAGAATGCAGCCTCGTCCCAGGGGAGGTGGAGGTTGTGACTGTGCAATCATTACAGGCATAGATCTATCAGTATGCTGATGCCCAGAGCTCTTCTGTCCCTCCTTCTCTTCCTCTTCCTCCTCCTCCTTCAGCCCTCCTCCCTGCCTGCCTGCCTGCCTCTCCCCCAACAGCAGACCCCCTCCTCATATTCTTGTCCTTTCCTTCACAGCTCCCCACAGTCCTCAACAACGCTCCCTCAGCCCTCCTCCGCTGATAGCAATCAGCCTCAGTCTTGATTGGTCCCGAGCAACAACCTACACAGAAATTAGAGCTGAAATGAGCTGTTTTTGATGATTGTCATACATGTTGGCTCGTGGAATAACCAATATGTTATTAAGGATGTTTCAGGAGAAATTCTAGTTATATTGGAACAAGCAATAGGTTTGTGTCTTTTTACTATCAGTGCTCTAAAATGATCCAGTTGTGCTAATTTCCTCTGACAATAAAAACCAGACAATAGACAAAGATTTCATTACAGGACAAACTGTGCAGGTAGCACCTGGATTACTAGTGTTTGCTCAAGAAATGAAAATCTAACCACATCACTGCAGCAGGCTTAGCCTTGAGACATCCACACAGATAGAGCGGATATGGGTGAGATGGCCACTCAATCAATACAGACTTTGATTGACAGGTTAAGAGAAATATGTAATGAGCTGATACGTGTAAAAAAGGAACGATCAATATTCTCTGACATTTACAGTGGAGGGGAGAGTGTGTGCGGGGTTTACGTCTGAAAGTGTACATGGAGAGAGGCATACAGTCGCTCCTGAATGTCAGATGTGGCCTGAGGCAGGGGGGTAAATGGAAAGAGTCGAGCAGGGTTGTATCATTTTACAAAGCGTGGTCAATAACTGAACTCCTGCCAAAAGTCATATCCCAAATAACATGCCCATAGAAGCCAAAGCTGGCCACAAAACACTGCCAGGTTGTTTGATGCGTTTGTGCTGCACACCAGTGAGTAGTGACACACAAATAAACAAGCTTTCACGCAGACACAAAGCGTGACTCATTAGGGTGTCCTGTGGTGTGCTGATAAGGTAGTCTGGAGGCTCAATCCCTTTGTGTGTTACAGATCATTAATAGAGGTTGTTCCCTGCTTTGCACTTCTCTACTGAAGTACTGTGACAATTGTACACAAATTAATTGTTGACTAATTCAGTCGCACTGCTGAAAGCGCACGCACACACAATCAGAATTCTCTGTAACATCTGAGGTCAATTATGTCAGCCAAGGTGTTTTCTGAAATGCACCGAACATATTTCCATAAATGGGGAATATTTATGTTTTTCTTAGATGCTTTTAAATACTTTTCCTCTTTTATACTTATAAATGTTTAAGTGTTTCTAAGTGTGTGTTTCTCACCTTCCTTTTTCCAGTTTCGCGTGTTCACCGCACCGTTTCACCGGGTGGAGTTTGCAGACTTCTGGCTGGCTGATCAGCTCAACTCGCTGGTGTTTGTTCTGATGGATATGGAGTATCTGATCTGCTTCTACATCTTTGAGCTGCAGTGGAGCAACAGCAAGGGCCTGCTGCCCAAGTTTAAAGGTGGGACATTAATCCATGTTCAGAATGGCCTAATCGTTAACTTTATATCCTCTGTACCTCTGTCTGTGAACAGATCAAAAATAGCACTTTGGAGCCAGGGAGGGGAATGTTAATGCTCTGTTACAGAAAAGGAAAATATCTAAAAATACTTCAACATCGTAAAAGAGCTAAAAGCAATGTAATATAATGCCAGTTTGTTTTTTGGCTATGAATTCTTATTCCTTTATTATATGGATTTCATGAAACATTAAAAAGAAAGGTCGCTCTTACTAGACTCAGTATTTCCTTCAAGAATAGGCAGAGATATCTCTGCATCAACAGCAGCCTCAGTCAACAGTAATGCAGTTCAGCCTCACAATGTTCGTAGTCCTGAATAAATAGCAGTTCTCAGGGGGTTGTTGAAAAGCAATATGGGGAAAGTAGGAAATATTAAGGAAAATCTACAAACTGAATTAGATATACATAGATGAGGTGTGGGGATACCAAAAACATACAGCAAAACTTGAACACAAAAGAATCCTGGACTGTAGTAAGCTAATATATTTTTCATATTTCTTGGTTATTGTAGTGTTTATTCTTCACCTGCTGCATGTCATCATGATATGGAGATAAAGACACAAATCCTTTGGTTGTAAATGTGACGGACTAAATTGACTGTTTGCCAGCTGAGCTGTCAGGAAATGTGATGTGAATGAGGTTTTAATTGCCGTCCGTCCATTCCACAAACAGTGACACCTCGGCCTCCACGCAGCCAATTAACATGGAGCTAATGGATGGAAATGTTTGGCCACTCAGAGTTCGCCATGTGACTCTCATAATGATGAGCTTCTCCGTGCGAAGGGGAATGTGCTGGGAAGGCATTATGGTAGAGAAAATTAAAAGGAGGACAAGAGATTACAACATAATCATGCTCTGTTTTATTCTTTTCCAGACCCTAATGACTTCGTATGCCATAGCTACTCGTACGGTCTGCGTGCCATCATCCAGTGTCTGCCCGCCTGGTGTCGCTTCATCCAATGCCTGAGGCGTTACCGTGACACCAAGAGGGCCTTCCCTCACCTGGTGAACGCTGGGAAATATTCTACCACCTTCTTTGTCGTCACATTCGCTGCGCTCTACGCCACACACAGAGGTAGGACACACAAACATATGTCATGTACCTCAGATAGTAGGTTTGATCTGAGCTGAGTCAACACGTAAAAGTGGATCTTCTGTCAACTGTAATGCTGTAAATCCAACTCACAAACACAGGGGAACCCAGAAGAGACAGAAATTCGATATTAAGCTAAAAGTCTACAGACCAAAGCAACAATATTTGTGTGTCCCTGTCAGAGAAGCATGTCAACAACACACAGGCTTTTGAGCCTTTGTACTGAGTCATGTGTGCTCAGAAGGCAGAGGTGACCTTGAGTGCAAATGCTAGAAGTTGGCCTTGGTTTCCTTGTCGGTGCTAAGAGCTTTATAATGGAAATGGGAAAGACTTTGTCAAACACAGTCACGGATAAACAAGGTTCTGTTCCCACAATATGGCCTTCAGGCTCAAAGCAGGAGAGAAGAGATGGAGCGGAGAAAAGCAAAAGTAGCAAAATAGAAAGAGAAAGAGAAAGAAAGAGATATTACTATTAAAATTCAAGTCACTCCCGCTCACAGCTTCACAATTAGCCTGCAATATTCTGATTCAGAAGTCATATCGCAAAGGAGTTCATGTTCAAAGACACAGCAACCAGGCAATAAAAGTATCCCTTTAACATGCATCTTTGTATTTCAGTTCACCGTCATAGATATTTGTTCACCGGCTCGTTTCAAAGCATTTTTTTATATAAATATTTATTTGCCAGTAAAATGCCAACTTCATCTTCAACCTTTGAAAGTGCTAAATGTTATTTCCCAGCTTGACTTTATTCTTTTCCGATATAAATTTTAATCAATACTCTTGCTTCTTAAGCTGACCGCCAGTGATCTGATGTTGAATGAACCAGGAAGAGAGACAGACAGACAGACAGACAGACATACAGACGGACCTTTTTTTTTCTTCCACAGCTCGGTAGGAAAGGCGTCCATTAAACCATATCCTCCTTCCTCCTCTGGTCTGAAGCCTGTAGACTAATGGCCTCTCTTCATGTGTTATTCTGTATGAAGCTGTCTTTCATCCAGCATGATAATGGAGGCTGAGACCAATCGCTGGTTAAGGGGAGGAGCAGGGTGGGAAGACAGACGACTGCAGACATACACACATAGATAGTGAACGGATGGTTGAGGAAATTGCCTGTTGTGGAGATATTTGATGTATCCTCTGCAGAAATTATTGTTCTGGTAAATCTTGAACATGAACAAACGTGGGCAGTATATCCTGCATCCAAATATGGAAATGATGAGTAAACCTCAGAAGCAATGAAAGTAGAAGCCTCTGATGCTCTCTGTAGCGTTAGTGTAGGCAGGACAGATGATGCCTGCATTACCCAGCATCTGCCTGAAAAGACAGCAGGGTGGTGTCGTGTTCACACCACTGGGTCCAGCTGTAAAAGGTGGCTGGAGTGTCAGTCAGTATCTGGCAGAGCTCCCAGCGTCTGTCTGTGGATGTGTCACCTTCATTGCTAACCTGCTCACAGTCCCGATGGTTTCTGTCTGACCTCACCGCCTCACTCATTCCCGGAACTGCACACATTTAGCTCCGGGAAAGAAAGAATAAAGCAAATAAATCATGGGCTTGTCTGTAGAGGGCTGAGTGGTATTCACTGACCAGTTCTTCTATTTGCAAATCTAAGTCTGTAATATTATGAGGTACAGTTTCCTCTCTGTTGCTAGAAAAGTTTATTTTTGTTGGCTGTGTTGAGTCATTGTGGGATTTGAGAGTTGAATATGTTTAATGTAGTGCAGCAAACAACACCTCAGAGAAATGTTCAGTTCAGTGCTGTGAAGAACTGATTGGACACTGTCATGAAACTGTAATTTCAGCAGATGCTCAGAGGCTTGTAACCGGAAGAGATGATGCAGGATTTCCTGGTTTAGGCAGAATTCCCAAACCTTGTAAGATACAGTGTGATGCCTTACAATAAAGAAGATTACTTTACTCAGGATCAATACAGGCTCAGCTTTGTGTACAATGGCTTGAGACTTATTGCTCTTCTAGATTCAGGGGGAGTTAGAGGCCTAATGCTAATTTAAACCTTTGGGATTTATCTCATGGACCGGCAAAGGCAAGAGAAGATGTTGCATAGTGGCCAGGAATAGCGTCTGATAGACAAAGAAAAGTTACTTGTAGGGGGAAATAAGTAAAAAATGAGAGATCATCAATGAGACAAACTGCAGAGGTATTTGTCTAGTCAATGCACAGACTCTTTTATAGATCAAAATACTCCCAAAACCAGCTGAAATAACCTTGACCAAAGAGGAACATTAGTCCTGCTGGTCTCTGTGAGAGGCTGACCGCGGTGGTGTGAGGCAGAAATAAATCGAGTCAAGCTGCAGCAAAGGTTCAGTAAATTTAGAGCTGATTGAGCCCAGAGGGGGAGGTAAAAATGAAAGGTTAGATGGAGAGAGGAAAGAAGTAACGGACAAAACAGGAGAGCACCAGAGAAAAGTGAGAAAGATTGGCATGAAAGGGATGGTGATTCAAAGATTGAATAGATATCAAAACACAAATAACAGTAGGAAATGGATGAGGAGAGGAGAGGAGAGGAGAAGAGAGGAGAGGAGAGGAGGTGAAATTACCAGCCCGGGGCTGAACACATGTCTGCTGGACTCTGCTGGAATAGAGATGAGCCCAGAGCTGACAGCTTTTATAACTTCATTTCATGTACTGACCCCTCGTTCATTATAAAGAGAGGAATTGCAGCACACACCGACACATCCTCAGTCAAACACACACGTTACCCAATGAAGATAAAAGACGCGTCTCTGAGTCAAATGTCTCTCTCTGCATGCTTGAACTCTAATTCACCCCTGCTCCTCCTCCTGCTTCAGCTAATATATTTACATCAGGAGCCAGAGAGGAGCTGAGTTAACCATCTGATAAAGGTAAATCCTCTGTGGATGTAAACAATGGGCCTCATGAAACAACATTACACACATCAATACCTGTTTGAGTGTTGGAATGAATATATTTGGTTGCATGAGGTCTGTGGTTGAGAGGTCTCAAGATACGGGATTCTTAATTACCTTGTTGAGGGAGTGGGTTGCCATGGCAACAGATGATATATCACTCTTTATAGTAGGGACTGATTGCTCTTGTTGTGAACTTGTTTCTGTCACTGTGGAACGTGAGTATAAAATAAGAAGGACAATGACAGTTTCATTTCCTCTTCCATCCACTGATTTTTTTCAAATTTTTAAATATTAATTAAACAAAATGTTGTACATTTTGGGAGAGGTAAAGTTTGTATATAAGAGCATTAAAAAGCAGGTCAGGGGGAGACCTGAGAGGAAACTATAAAAGTCACTGAGGTTCGGTAAAATAAAACAGCATTACAGGGTAATAACTTCAGTACTTCCACAAAATCTAATCTTAAGGGCCTTACACCCTTAACCCATTTGGTCCAGAACTTAAGGAATACATTTGTCAGAAGATGAAGAGAGAAAGAAATATTTTCCATAACATAATTGTCATTTACAATATCTATACACTTGTTGGAGGTTCAGGAAGCAACCAGCTCCTTTTTTACAAGCAAATATTAAGATACCAAACATATATTCATCAAAACACCTTCAACTTTTCCTAAAACCCTTTCCTAAAAAATAATGTGAGAAGTTTTAAAGGCAAATCAATGTGAAGTATTCTTTTTAGTCTCTTGTGGAGCTCGTCCCAGAAAGCTCTTATCACAGGACACCAGCCAGTGATTGGCTTCCTGAAACCCACACTGTCTCCAACATTTAGCAGCGATGAAGTGCTCTGTCGTTAATAGTGTTTAACCTCATCGGTGCCTGTGAACGACAATAGTCCGTGTGTGTGTGTGTGTGTGCGTGTGTGTGTGTGTGAGACAGAGACAGACTACTAGCAATTGAGTGTGTGTGACAGGAGCCAGTGACCACCGTCAGTCCCTACTGAGCATCCAATCAATGTCCATCTCACCATGCTTAACCTTTAATGGCTCAGTGGCTAACCAGCTTGGTGGAAAAAACCCAGCCCTAACAGAAACTGAAGGGTTAAATACTTCAACACTTTACAAGCTGAGCAAATCACATCAGTGGATATTCTCCAGTGAAAAGAGTCTATTGTCCAGGACTGAGTTTAATCTACGGCTGGGAAATCTCAGTGTGGCCGTAGGGACTACTTGCATCCCATCGCTCAGCTGAAGAAGCAAACAGCACAATGGACCCAGCAGTTAACAGAGCAGCACAGCAGTAATTCTCTGGTAGAAATACCTCCTCTCTGCTCCCCGGCGTCTTGTTGGCTGCTAGCAGGAAGAAGGAGTGACTGTGAGAAATGGGAGCAAGCTTGGTCTCTGTCTGGTGGCCGCTGTCTGTGTGAGACACCGTGATTGGCCACCGGGTGCTGATCTATATATCAGCGCCCACTGAGGAACAAGCTAATCACATCCACAGTGATTGTGCATAGACACACAGACGCTCCTGAGCCAATCACACTCTGATATATCATACCCATCAGCTGTGGGCAGGTCAAATAATAATAATTCTATCATTATAACCAACATGCACTGGGACCCTTACAGCAAAACAGACCTTGATTTAACCAGGTTGAACCACATTTATACTTGAAACAGAAA